TAGGCGCAGAGCGGGTTATCAAATTTTGAAAGGGCTTGCTGATTTGATCAGGGGCACGCAATGCTGGATAATTGGAACAATGTTCGAAAACTTGCGAAAACGATCAAGGGCCGCATGCATTAACATCCCCTGTGAAGGGGAGCGCAGCTCAGAAGAAAGCTTCACGTCCTGAGGCTTTAGATGTCTGGATTTTTCTTTGCATCCATCCGTAAGCATTCCTACTATCTTTTATTAGAAAATATTGAAGGCGCGAAGTTGTACAAGCCGCATTTTCCAGCTTTTTTTACGATCCCCCGATGACCCCCAGCTGCCGACCTTCTTTTTATTAAAATCATTTTTCTTCCCTTGAAGTTAGTGAAAACATTTTAAGGTTGTACTAATTATCCAACCCAGCAATGCTAAAAGCACATTTTCAATACAAATGAGTTTTTCAAAAAATTTTAATTTCTGGTAAACTCCAACTTTCGACTTGTGGATCATGGCAATTTTCATGATTTCGATACATCATTTGTTTTCATCAAAATTATGTTTACAATTAGCATTGCCGCATTAGATACTCAGTACAGCTTTGGATTGTTTCCATTAACTTCGAGGAAAGAAAAATGAGTTCAAAGAAAAGATGGCCGACAGTCGCATATCAGCTTGCGATCGTACAAAAAGCTGGAAAATCCGACTTGTACAACTTCTCGCTCCTGTTCAATATGTTTATGGTGAAGGTTAGTAAGAATACTTACGGATGGATAGACAGCGTGAAATCTTGATAACTGCCGTGACCCAATGCTCTCTATAAATCGATGATCTACCCTATGCCGCTTGGTTCCCTTGTCTCAAATCGCAATGCTCCATCCAGTCTATTAGGGAAGACAACGCTACTTGTGGCTCAGAGAAAACAAGACGATAATCTTATTGTCATTTTAACCATTGTCCTGACTGTTCTTTGTATCCCCCTCTACAAAAGTTTTCAACTCCAACTTCCAGGTCCCCTCTAATCCGCTTAGTCAGAGCACATTCATTTTGCACTCCGCTCTATTTTCTTGGTTTTTCTTCCTTCTTCCTCGTTCTCTGAACTCGTTTCATAAGCACCTCGTAATGAATGTCATGTTTTTTTGCAATGCAATGGACTTCAACTTGCAAACATTAGACCCACCCCACCTCTCGCCGAGTCTTTTACATCAAATCTGATATGCCAACGTGTGGTCTGATTTTGAGATATGACGGAGAATTGTGCGATATGTTAGATGCTGCCCATGAAGCGCGTGTTATCAACTTGTGTTTCGTTTATACTGGTTTTTATTAGATTTAATATCGACGTGAATGCTCAAACTACCCTGCCAAGAAAGTAAAAGACATTGATAGAAGCAGACTTAAACATCAAACTTGGACCCAGATTGACTGAATATATCATTTTTCCATTATGATGTACACTGAGTATTTGCATGGGAAAATTATCAATTGTACTCATGAAATGCAGTATGAGAGTTCACATACTTTTTTTATTGCAAACTTTGAGGGATCCACGATTGTGTTGCGTCTCAACGCTTCTGGCTCAGAATGGGCGCTAGCTCGACAAACGCAGTAGTGGTAAAAAAGATGAGTACGCCCAATTCATTTCTTCTAATCGTCAATAAGAGTTTTGTATTGGGAAGATTTGGATATATGCCCTTTGCTCCAGCGATCGGTGCAGTAATTGTCATCGAATATAGGTGAGTCATCTTCATCATTGTCTTTGTTTCATACATTTGTATTAACTTGCTTATATAAGAGAGGCTGCTTTGTTCAGCTAGGTTCAACAAAAACTATTACTTAAAGATGAAAACTTAGTGTCGTAAGCGATGTCTTGGAATGGCTCAGCTTTTTCCGACTCAAAACTTATTATGTGTTCTTTTTTTATTTGAAGCCATTGCATTTCAACATGGATGGAGGCAAAATGGCTAAGGATATAGCAGCCCATGTTTCAGGGTCCTGTGCGGCAAAACCAGCAATCTGATAACGAGCGCAATCCTGAAGACAATCCATCTTACAGTTTCAAACCGCTCCTCCCTGCCAAAAGAATAGCGCAACAAGTAGCTCAAGGCTCTCCTCTTCCAGAGAGGGCATACAGCCTCAAGATAGATCATCTCCCATGACCGAGCTTTACTACGACCACATTCTGAATTTTTGTTTGAGAAGCTAGGTTGTCGATGTGTCCTTGTGGCAGCAAAGTGCAAGTTTGACATCTTTGACTGAGAACTCTTCAGTATAAGTCAGTGTCCAGCCCAATTTTTCTGCCGTAATGCGCATTTTTTTCGATTGAAGGTGCGTGACGCTAGCCACGCACTCCGAAATGCTTTGGGATGCTTCCCAAATTTTCCCGGGCCTATGTTGGCTCCCGGGAAGAATTTTTTACTAGGCTAGTACAGATTTTTGAAATTTCAAAAATTAATTCAATTATACACAAGTGACTTACACATTTTTATAATCCATGTAACTTTGAAAATTTCGCGACCCATTCTCGGAGACTGACCTCCCCTCCTCCCCCGCCCCCTCGGTCCGCTACAGTGCTCGTAATAAAAGTGATGAATATCAAAAAATCCTACGAGTAATCAGAACCTTCTTTCCTATTTGATGTCAATTTTTGCTCACAATATTGATTTAGAGCATGCTCGGATGTCAGGAATATCATCAATGTTTTGAGATGGGAAGCATACAGTGGAGATGTACCAATGTCTTTTCGTCTACTCAGCAAATCATCTGAGGAACTCAAGGTTTAATAAATCAATGCATCAACATGTTTTTAAATGAATAACTTTGGTTGCTTCGGTGCCGATCAAGCTTGTAGGTGTTCTTCCGTCCCCAATGCCACTCGTATAGCAGTGTTCATAGAGCCTCAGAGGAAGAAAAAGACGTGGAAACGTAAGGCCGTGAAAAGAATAAAATAAAACACCTAACGAACCTGTTTGGCAGAGGAGCATTCAAGAATACTGATTAAGCTCTTTGTCAGAGAAAACAGGATCTCTCAAACTGTTTACAGGAGTAGTATTGAGATTCTCTCGTATAGCCATTATTAAGTTCCGGGCCGACTTCTACACTTGCGGCTGTGTTCGTTACAAAACAATACCGCTTTCGAATCTGGCAGTATTCAACGATATCATAGGAGTTGTTGAGGACGAAAAAGGCGTTTTGGAAAGGAAATATATAGGTAAATTTTCTTCTGACATTACAACGAAGCTCTCACTGCCGCTGTTAGCTTACGTTTGACTGTTTCTGAGTCTTCCGCAAGCTCATTTTCCATATTCTGTCTGCTCAGCTTAGGTTTTACTGTCCAACTCTTTATGACATCATATGGTAGAACTCGTTATAACAATCCATCATAGCATACTAAGCACACTAACGATGGTGTTTACAGGAAAACTGCGTGCTACAGTCAAACTTAGAAACGTGCGTACCGGTTATGAATGGGAGCTTTGTTGTGTGAACGAATACTTGCAACAACCGACTGACGTCAGTTTCATGTAAATGCAACCTTCCTCGAGTGCTTCGTTTCATTTTGCCATGTTAGATTTTCAGCTTTACGAGGTTTACAGCCGCGGTATAGTGGGAGCGGTCAATCAGAAAGGTAACCTTAGTTATATCACATCTCGTGAGTTTCCTCACGATGTTCGTTTCAAAAGTGGCAACGTGTAAGTTACTATATAAACTGCATGCCTTAAACAATCAACAATAATTTATAGCGATGTTGATCGTGTGAAAGGTCTGCTAGGTCGGGAAGTGACATTTTTCGCACGTCAGCAAAATGGTCACATTTACCATGTGACGGGATCAGTTGAGCCACTGACAAGAAGTATAATTCCTATCGTAAACAACGGATTCTTCTCTGTAAGTTTACCTAGTCAGGATTGAATGACTCATTTGATCAGAAATTGTTCAATAATTCTGTCTTCTCCCCTTTCTTCACCTTTCTGAAATCCTCAGCACACTCACGATAATATACGAGCATGTGCTGCCACCAGGTCATTTTTTGCGTCTACTGAAGGCACAATCTAGCTGAATGCTTTCTGCATTTCACGTTCTGAGTGATTTCGCTCCCATACAACAGTTATTCACCTTGTTGCCTTTGCATCTGTTTCGACATTACTTAGCAACCACATAACAAGATACTTTGCAGGTAAGCTTTATTATCAGAACCAGCCAAGCAAGAGCTTGCATATTATTTTGTTAAAACGGATCCGTCTCTGAAGAAAGGAACTGAGCCTTAGTGTTTAGAAGTTTCAACATTAACATGGAAGATGCGCTGCGAAAAAGGATTGGTTCTCAACAGCTATACAAACTTGCTATTTGCTAATTATAAGAGCTCGTCAGAAAATTGAATGTGCTCCATCTCTAGTAGTGGCCTTACCTGCCCAACGCAAATGGTGGCCTTGATAAGTTCTGTAAAGAAGCTTTTCCTTTATTGACTGTACCGAAATAAGGGTAGAAATTTGCTTTGTCTACAGTGACAGCACGACAGCACAAAATCTCAAGCAAACATCATAAGTCCTCGATAAATAGGAGAACGAGATTGAGAGACATTCCATTTCAAGGCCAAAGTAGCCAGGTTGACTTCCAAGCCACATTTCATTGTGCAGAGTTCAAATCTGGGAGCCGAGCAGTAGGCAGTATCGAGCGTTAATTCTATGGCCGCAGGAGTTGATGTCAAGCACGCTTTCATAGCAGAAACGATCAAAGAGATTGCTTAGGAAATGCCTACGTATCTATTAAACGAATTGCTTGTCTTGCAGAACATTCACCAAGAAGGGAGACCTGTGGACGATAAGGAATACCTACGCAGAGGCCACCTGACCACGAAACCGAAGCGAACTAGGCACTGCGGAGCTGAAGAAGAACTGAAAAAAGGAAGTTGACGAAGAAGAACAAGTAAGAAGGAAACGAGGAGGAAAAGTGCAGAGAGGCTTAAAGAGATTGATGAACTGGACTTCAATGTACATGTCGGATTATGGTGAAGCAGCCCGTACTCCTGTATGATATCCGCGCCTTGTGTAGGGTCCTCGATTTACATTATTCCGACCCGTCCCCCTCAATGGCCGTCCACCCAAACTCCTGGCTTCCATGTTTTTGTTTCCAGGTCTTCTGAAGGCCCCGATTTCGTCGAACGTGGAGTTTGCCTAGTGTGAAGGCCCCCTAGTATGCCATGATAATCTCGTCAACCCCCATTTTGGGTAGACGGCCTATAAAAGAGTTGGCACGTACTATGCAAACAACTATGCAGAGGAAGTTTATGCCCAAAGTGCCTGAAAACCTATTTATCAGAAAGGTTTCGATTCAAACCAAGACCTGCTTACATTAATTGCCGCCAAACGTATGCCGCAAAAATCGGTTCAAAGTCCTTGCGCAGTGTCTCCTATAAGGAAAAAGTTCTGAGAAGATGGATAAATGACCTAAAAGAGCGACCATTAGCCCAAAGGAAAGGATCACAGATGCGAAAAGGCATAAATTTGGAGAAAATCATGAGGCGCGTATTTCGTTGAAGACGACTTCCATGCAGTCAAAGTGAAGTGTAATCTCACTCAATTGTTTATGTATGATAGAAGATTGTTTATTCTATTGTTAGTTTGTTGAAAAACATCTGAAGTTGAATGGTACCGCGCATCGGAAGTGATCCGCCGTAAAAGTAAATACAAGTCAATGCAAACCTTAAATCCATCGGTGCCTTAACTCTAACTCAACTACACAAGTTAACTTATCCGATGCTATCACTAGATCACTTATCAATGTGGCATGTATAAGTCAACAAGGATCTAGAACTCATAAATACCGACTTATGAGGATGTTTCGCAATATTTGAGAGTCTTTCACAGCAAGGCTAAAACCAACAAGTACTAAGGGTTAGTAAGTGGGTAAGTTTTGGTCTGGTGAGTTTTCACATATTGCAGCCTACTGTATAAAGGCCAGCTTCAGTGCCGGTGCGGTCACCACGAGTTCTTATCGAATAATATATTTGCTCCTATATTTGCGTTACAATCAAAACAATTTTTATTTGCAGCTAGTGGTGAAGGTGGAGCATATAGGTTGTAGAGACGAACATGGGGTCGGAATTGTTTGGAGTGAGAAACTCGAGTTCATCAGAGATCCATGCAAATTGATTGGAGGCTGTGGTAAGATTCACTCACTTCAACAATGCAACCTGGTAAGCCCCTTTTACAGAATATGGAATTTATGAAGTGCAGTGCGTCAGGCACTACAAACCTAATCAATTTCCCAAGTGGAGGATCATCAAAGTTCTGCGCATGATTTACAGTTATAAAACCCAAAAAGAACGAATCCATGCTAGAGTTTGTTTATATTCCAACAATGTATTCAATATTGCGTTGACCGTGAAATTGCAGCATTCAGAAGTATCATACAAAAGTTCCGTTTACAGTAAAAGTTTGACCAATGATCAGAGTAGGTGACTGTC